GTGCAGAATTCCTGCTGCAAATGCAGCCTTAACCAGCGCTAAATCGCATCATGCCTAGACGTTATTTAGGATGTTAGATACGCAAACGTAGTGCAGTTTGGTGTGCCTACAGTGAAATGTATTTTATTAATTTATGCGTTAATGAAAGCACTAATGAAATTAAGCTTCGAAAGGCTTTTAGCTCTAAATTTATACGGCCGATGTATTTGCCTTCTCTTTGTCTGGCACATATGAGAAACAGTGAGTCATTGTGGACTGTTTCCCACACATGCTCAGCGTAACGGGTCTATCTTTGTCTCGCAAATGCACACTGCACACATCTCGCTGTCTTAATGCACTTTTTATGTACATTCGGATGCATACTTGCGCTAATAAAGATGCATGGTGACTTTGGAGACGTTTCGAAAAGATCTGGAGTCACAAAAGGCTCCATTTGCACTCTGTGAATTACAGTTCCAACTTTCCTGCTTGGCTTTTTGACTGAAGAGCCAATCAGAGGCACCAGCTTACATTCCTGTTCACTGATTGGTTCTAAATTCAAACCCCGCCTCTGTCCGTCAGCATTAATGCTCCTCCCCCTCCACACACGTCAGAGAAGCACCACAGGTTGTTTGTGTTGTTGTTTGTTTCTTGAAGCCCTCCATCAAAACTTTCTTCATATAATTTTGAGAATCTGAAGTGCTGCTGTTTCTGTGCTTGACTCTGGGTTGGTTGGACTGCGTGTGGTCATGAGGACCGTAGAGTTCATAACGCTTCTGTGTGTGATGTGACCATTTTGCCTTACATGTTTTCCAGGACTAATTAAAGAGCATAACTAAAAGAGGTGTTTACGGAGTCGTTATTAAACATGCTTCAGCCATACATGCCTATAGAGAGATGCACGTTATTTAGGGGATTTTATTTCAGTCTGAACTGAGGTAATGTAGAGAGAGTATCAGATCTGATCCCCGTTCCAAGTGTTTTTTACAACTCCCAATGTTCTGTCATTTACAACACATCATGTTCTCACTGGGTAGTTTAATATTTATGTTTAAGTTTTCCAGTGTGACCATATTACAATAACTTGAGGGGAAAATACACAAGATATGTGTACACTGCAAACTATTTATTACTTGGTATATTTGCCTAGCCTTTCACTATGGTTATCTAAAAATTCTTAAAACAAGATACATTTACTTTAAGGTACATCTAAGAACAATTGAGGTACAGGTGTAACCAAAAAAAAAAAAAAAAAGTCCATTTACTAATGTGGTAAGAACTTAATTTACATGGAAAACAAGTAGCTTTTTCGTACCTGTTGTCACAAGTGTTTTTACTTGTTTTTAAACAAACCACAGTAACTTTTGCTACAACAAGAATTCATATATTGGGATTTTCCTTCTGATCTGAATGTTTTAGGGATGTTAAGACGTTCTACTGGAAACAAGACAAAGATACTGAATAATTTTATTTATGAGAAGCGAAAAAATAGGAACATCCAAACTGAACTAATACAAACAGTAAGTAATTCACAGTTATTTAATTTAAAAACAAAAAAATTAAAATAAAAAAATCTAATTTCCAGGCCAGGAAACAATAATGGAAATTTCCTTAATACTTTTTTTTTTCTTTCTCTCAAACTGCAAAAAAATAGATTTTTGTTATGGGCACACATTTACAAACCTAAGATTTTTAAACATTTTTATCTAGTAATAACGAACAATTGAAAAGTCATGAAGTTTCTTTTTAAATTGTCACAAAATCAAGCCATTTTAGTAATTTAGCAGCTGCAAAGAAAAACATCCCTTGTACATGTGCAAAAAAACCTCTGATACAACAATCAGGAAACATCGTAACTCTTCAAAAATAGGTTGTTTTCAATATTAATAACAAATGTGATCCAAGTGTACAAGTTATTTTAGATGTGTTAGTTACACCCAACACTGAATTGAGAACAATAAACAACATCAAACAATCATGCTAATTAATACTATTCAGTAATACAATAGAATGAACATAAAAAGCGTCCAGAACTGGATTGCTGACTCACAAAAGAAATGACGCGAGCTTTCCGTCGATGCCTGAATCTAGCAAAAGCAACATTCCTCTAGAAAACAACATGGCACTTGTAACGCTGTGCACAAAATCAAGGTTCAGACTGCTTTAACATTATCCGCAGAGGTTCTTCTAGTGCCAGGTCCTGTCATGACCATGATTCCCAGTCGTCTCTTTCGGTGTCCAGCCTCATGAGGCAAGGCAAGGCAAGTTTATTTATATAGCACATTTCGTACACAATGGTCATTCAAAGTGCTTTACATAAAAGAAAGTAAAATAATCAAAAAAATATATCACAAAAATAAAAAGGAATTTAAAAACTTTGAAAATGATTTAAAAATAGATTTAAAACGAATTTAAGACAGTTAAAAATAGAACATGGTTATACATAAAATACAGTGCAATCATTTTGGGTTGCATAAAATACAGTGCAATATATAAAATACAGTGCATTAAATGGGAAATTTGGAAATTGGTAATGCATGCGAAATTGTATTTATTTATTTTTAAGTTTATTAATGTTTCTTTATTATATATTTATAATATATATTTAACTATTTAACTTAAATATATGTTAATAATGTAATAGAATTTGTTTATATATATATATATATATATATATAGTCACCTTTATCAAGTCACCTTTATATATATATATATATATATATAGCGCTTTTAACAATACAGATTGTGTCAAAGCAACTGAACAGCATTAATTAGGAAAACAGTGTGTCAATAATGCAAAATGACAATAGTAAACACTAATTTTTCAGTTAAAGACAGTTCATCATTGAATTCAGTGATGTCATCATC